CATATAGCAACACCCAGAAGTGCTTGTCCTATCAGGCAATGACCCTTCCCACTTTGCATATGAATATGCTAGAATATCAAGGGTTTGTGAAGGTGTATAATGCAGTCCATAATCAAGTGCTCCTTTGATACATCTCATGATTTCTTTTGTAACAATTAGATGAGATGCTTTAGGAGCACTCTGAAATCTAGCAACTAAACCAACATCATGCATTATATTAGGTCTTGAAGCAGTTAAGTACAACAAGCTACCTATAATAGATCTTTATAAGAGTAGAATTCATTGTTTCACTAGTGCATTTTGCGTCTAACTCAGTGGATGTGCACATAGGTGCTATGTTACATGGACTCTTCAAAAGTAGTGAAGTACTTATGTCGGACACCTATTGCTTATGGGATACGTGTTTGTTACTTTTTTTTTTTTTTTGATAAGTTTCCATAGATCTATAATCTCTCCCTGAAACCCAACAAAAAAGAGTAGAACGCGTTCGTTACTTTTGGTTGGACATGTACTTAAAAAGCATATCCAATCACTCAATTATATTATATTATTACTTTAAAATGAGTTAAATGCCTATATTGAACATTTTATTAGGTAAAAACATTACCTTACTCTAGAAAATAGAATAAAATAATTAATAAAATGAATATTTAGCCATGTCCGTGTGTCCTTCTGTTTGGAGATTTGACACGTCCGACACATGGATACATACCCGTGTCCGACACACATACCTGAGTCCATGTAACATAGAATAGGTGTAGTCACATGTTTACTATCATGCATATTAAATTTGATCAGTAGCTCTTTAACATACTTTTATTGGGAAATGAATATGCCTTTCTTAGAGTGACAGATTTGAGCGATAAAACATGATATCATCAACATAAATCTGTAAAATAAGAAAGTTTGAGTTGAAGAGTTTTTCATTATAATGTGCTGTCCAATTTACCTCTCGTGAACTTGTTCAATGAGAAATGAGTGAAGCTTATCATACCAGGCTCGAGGTGCTTGCTTGAGACCATAGAGAGCTTTCCTGAGTTAGTAGACATGTTTTGGATGGACTGAATTTTCAAATCCTTCAGGTTACAAAGCTGACATGACATCCATCTAATAGACCATGACCCCTTTGTAGCAGGCAAATGAGAGGAGCATTCTGATTGATTCCAGTATTACCACTGGAGCAAATGTTTCATCATTATCGAGGCTAGCTATTTGAGCAAAACCTTTGTAAACCAGTCTTGCTTTGTTTCTAATCACATTGCCCTTCTCATTCAGCTTGTTTCTGAAGATCCATTTTGAGCCAATGACATTCTTGTCTGCTGGTCTAGGAACAAGAATCCAAGTGTCATTTTTCTCAATTTGTTCCAACTCTTCTTTCACTGCAATGATCCAATCTTTATCATCCTTGGTTTCTTAGTAGTGTTTCGGCTCAATAAAAGACAACATAGCTATATGTATTTATTTATTTATTTCTTAGTTGGTACTCACACACATATCTCCATTGAGGCTTGAACCCCTGACCTCCCTTTGGGAAGTAGGGGCCTGGTAGCGTTAGGCCACTGGCCTATTGGTAACAAGTTAACAATATAGCTATATGACTCTACTCATCTGTCTCAAATAGTCCAGTGTCATTCTTCTTGGCTCTGGTTATTACATCTGTATCTTTGTCACCAATGATGTTATCCTGTTGCAAATTCTTTTGAAGAGTGGGATACAAAGTTTCTCTTTTATCTTGCTGACCCTCTAGTGAAGTACTAGCACCATCACTATCCAAACTGGGTTGCTTTGCTGTAGTGGTGGTCTCATCCTCTTCATCTTCTTTGACATCACCCCTTCATCAATCTTTACATGAATTGATTCCACCATCTTCTTTGTTCTCAAGTTGTAGCATGTGTAGGCTTCGCTCTTTGTATAATAGCCTAGGAAAATGCCTTCATTTGAGTTGGCATCAAACTTTCCAAGACTGTCGAGGTGATTAAGATTGTAGCACTTGCTCCCAAAGACTTTGAAGTAATGACCTGTTGCAGGTCTTCCATACCACAACTCAAAAGGAGTTTTGGTGGATTGTGGTCTCAGAAGTACTCCGTTGATAATGTAAACAGCTGTGTTTGTAGCTTCTGCCCAGAAACCTTTTGAAAGGCCTCCTTCCAACATTAAAGTTTTGCCCATTTCTTGAACGATCCTGTTCTTTCTTTCAACAACTCCATTCTGCTGTGGAGTGGCAACTGCTGAGAATTCTTTCTTGACTCCTCTTGAATCACAGAATGCCTCAAACTCATTCATTGTGAACTCAGTGCCAAAGTTTGATCTCAGTCTTTTTAACCTGCAATTTTTCTCATTTTCTACAATGTTGACAAACTTGATAAAATGGTTAATATTCTTAGATTTTTCTCACAGAAAATATATTCATTAGAATAAGTCATCAATCAGAAGCATGAAATATCTACTTCCACCTAAGCTTGTGGTTCTAGTGGGTCCACATAAATCCATATGTATAATATCAAGTGGTTGTGAGGTATTGAGTACTTTAGACTTGAATGAGACTTTAGTTTGTTTGCCAATTTGACATGCTTTGCATACATGCTTTTCATTAAATTTTAAGTCAGGTATACCTCTAGCTGCTTTGTATTTAACCACATTCATAATGTTCCTAGCATGCATATGACCTAGACTTTTATGCCATAAAATGCTATCATCAGTTTCAGACAAATTGCATACAAGCAAAGATGTATCCTCAGCAATAATATAAACATTTGTTGGGGATCTACTAGCAGAAAATAACATTTTTCCGAGTGTTCATCAACAACTTTACAATCATTCTTGTCAAAGCATACCATGCATCCTATGTCACATAATTGACTAACACTAAGCAAATTATTTTTAAGGCCCTTAACATATAAAACATCTTTAATTATGGGGATTTCAGCAGTTTTAGATATGATTCATTTTCCTACAATTTTGGCCTTTTTGTTATCTCCAAAGATAATTGTGCCACCATCATACTTCTCAAGTTTTTCAAATTTTGACATGTCACCTATCATGCGTCTAGAGCAACCACTGTTAATATACCATTTAGTACTAATGCTGCATGCTTTGAATGCAGTGTAAATGAGCATGCTAATGGCATTCTGTTTCTTAGGTATCCACATCATTCTAGTTTTCTCAAATAACTTGTTTATCTTAGATACACTACCATGCTTCAATTCAGATTTCTTTACATATGCAAGTTTAGCTTTAGAGTTTCTATTGGCATATGATGCAACATTTAAATGATCATGCTTTAAAGTGATATAAGTTGACTGAAGCAATTCATACTTAGGTCTACATGCATTGACAGTAATAGGATAAGCAACATAAACTTCACCACTTTCAGAATTAACAAAGATAGAGTGTGATGAGGTTTGTTTTACCTTCTCAGATGAGCTAAGATTATAGCCAATACCTGTCCTTCCCATTTGCTTGGTTGAGTTAGTCCAGATTTCAGTCATCTATTTGGACCTTTCTTCCAATGCCATAGTATAGGTGCATAAATTTGTTAACTTAGAATAGTCAACCAATTCCTTACTACACTCAGAAATAAGATGATTAATTCAAAACTGATATTGTGCATGAAGAATTATTGTATATCTTTATTGGGAGGTCTAGTCTCTATTTATAATGATACAAAGAGGTTGAATCCTATTAGGACTTGCATTGCTTGTCCTTCAAGTATATCAATTACAGTATTTGTTTCCTTATAGTAGAGATTCACATAATGTGATTACCATGAATAACAATCCTTCTCCTAGTCAACTTAGTGGGGTCAGCCCATATGCCTAGATGAGGGCCCATAACAAAGTGGTATCCAAATTGTATTATTAAACACATTTAATTGAATAAGTACTTAATTTATTCAAAAGTAAGTGCTGAATTGAGTTATATTAGCGTAGAAGATACACATTATCTTCTTCAATTTAGCACATAAGAATTATGTTAGGGAAAATAGGTTCAGTTGCCTACCTTGAAGGAATGCAACTTCATTCCAATTACTCAGATCTATTGTGAGCTTGGGAGATTGGTAGCTCGATTATTTCTGACCGAGTCTCCTCTACTTCTTATTTTCCTTTCCTCTCCTTCCTTCCTTCTCTTGTCTTTCTTGTATTCTTTTTTTCACTCCATCTTTCTCCCCTTATTATATGGGGCATGCTTCTTGGGAACCCTCTGCCGCATCTTTATTTTTTTCCATATAAGCATGCTCGATTGACCGAGGTACCATTCAATCAATCAAGCTCCACTGTGTCATGTCAATTGGCACACCACCATGGAAGTTGATCTATTTGAGCACCTACAATAGATCAATCAAGCTCCACTAATTTAGATGTTTGGTCATTTTTGCCCCTACACCTTTCAAGATTTGCTCTTATTTTTCTTTCTTTTATTTATTATTATTATTATTATTTTCATTTTCATTTTTTGGGTTTTATTCTTCTAATTGAAACCTTAATTCATCTAGAGTTTACGGTTTAGTTCAGAGTTCAGACATATTTCCTGTATTCAAGGTGAAAATTTTTTGGGACGTTACATTGAACACTTACTTCTATCCTTTTTCTTCTTCCTTCTTTGTTCTTTTTATTTTTTTTCCATTCATATATATATATATATATATATATATATTTTTTTTTTCTTTTTCTTTTAGTGGGTAAGAGAGAGCTCTGGATTCTATTTTGTTACCTATATTGTGCATTTCACACAATTCACACTTGATTAAAAATGCGAGTGTGTTCTGCTGAACTTTTTCCCTACTCCAAAGTTGAGCCGCGTTGCCAAGGAAAATGGGTGAGATATGGATGGTGAAGGTTCAAGTCCCCCATAAGGGCAAATGGGTGCTTGCCAAGGAAAAAAAATCAAGCTGCGTTGCAAATTTCATATATTATTCAAAATACCTGAAATATAAATTTGAGCTGTTGTGTCATAGATTTTTTATTTTTATTTTTATTGATGAGTATCCACTTAACATATAGGTCCCACTTCTTTTGCCCCCATAATTGATGCTGCTATTGATATTGTGGACAGAAGCAATGGGCAGTATCATGTCCTCGTCATTATTGCAGATGGACAGGTTCATAAATAATATTTTATACCATGGCTTCCATTCCTTTTCATTGTTTTTTCAAAAATTTCAGTGAAATCTTTTGAACTTATTACTCTTTTTTATTATTATTTTTTTCCTCTTTCAAAAATTCTATAATTTATAAATAGGTTACCAGGGGTCCTCATATTCAACCTGGAAGGTTAAGCTTACAAGAACAAGCAACTGTAAACTCTATTGTTGCTGCAAGGTAAAGAGTTAGCCATCTTGTGGACTTGAGTTATGATGGGATTTTTGTTGCTCTTAATGATTGTTATTTTTCATAAGCAGCCAATATCCTCTTTCAATTATTTTTGTTGGAGTGGGAGATGGGCCGTGGGATGCAATGGAACAATTTGATGATAACATTCCACATCGTGCATTTGACAATTTCCAGGTACTTGATGAATTTATGGCTTCATACAGTTTGTTATTTTCGTCTGTGTTATGCTCGATGAAGCTCCAATTCCATATTGAATCATTTAATTTGTGACTAATTCAGTTGATAATTGATCCACTATTTTATAGTTTCTTTGTTAGAGTTTCTAATGGTTGTCTTAAGCTAAACAATACAAACCTCAGTTTCTTGTTTATTTAGCTTATTTATTTATATTATTTATTTGCTGCATATGTAAATCACAACATACACGCCGATTTGTCCTATTTGGAACTTACCTTCAATTTGTAAGGAGGGTTGATTAGGATCTAGGTTGACATGCAGGAAGGATTCATGCCTTTGCCTATTTTTATATATATTTTGTTTTATTATTATTATTATTATTTTTTGGGGGGGGTTCTTTTTTCTCCTCTTTGCCTAGCATGAAATTTCACTATTTGCTTAATTTTGAATCTTCTTCAGATGTTTACAATGAAAAGTTGCTTGATGAATTGTGTCATCATCGATCATCAAAGTGTTACTCAATGCTTCAAATGATATTATATGCTTTGTAGAAGAAAGACAAGCTTCGACTTGCCTGGAATCATTTATGAAAATAGGAAGTGGGGAGTTATGGCTAGGTGCAGGTTATGAACAACATGTTAATGAGGAATTGTAAGTTGGGTTTTGTTTAGGATACTTTATACTTCAACAATCATAATGCATGGGGGATGGACTTTATAATTCTGAATATTAGATCATTTCGGTATTTTAGGGGGCAAGCCTTGGCGCACGGTAAGAGTAGAAATATATAAAAAGAAGAGAAAGGAGAGAATTGCGAAAAAACTTGAATGATATGAATTAGTCATTCACAGCTCTAGTATTAGATAAAATGAGCACATGCTTATATTACAAGAAAGGAAACTAAATCAAATCAAAATCAATTCACAACTTATTTTAAAGCATATTCTATGGCATATTCTATAGCATAGTCAAATCTCTGCTATTATGGTAAGTCATACCGTAAATCGTGGTATCATATATGCTAACATATGCATAGTCAAATCTCTGCTATTATTGTAAGTCATACCATAAATCGTGGTATCATATATGCTAACACTCCCCCTCAAGTTGGTGCGTGGATATCTGAAACGCCCAACTTGAACAATGCATTCTCAAACACAATCTTGCTAACGCCCTTTGTAAGTATGTCTGCAAGTTGCTGAGAGCTTGTGACAAATGGAGTGCAAATTTGACCAGAGATGATCTTCTCTCGAACGAAGTGACGGTTCACCTCTATATGCTTAGTCCTGTCATGCTGAATGGGAATTGCTGCTATGCTAATGGCAGACTTGTCGCAGTAGAGTGAGAATGGAAGCGACACTGGAAGGCACAAGTCTGTCATCAAGGTTTTCAGCCAAAGCAACTCACCTACCCCAAGAGTCATAGCCCTTTACTCTGCCTCTACACTAGATCGAGAGACAACATCCTGCTTCTTACTGCGCCAAGAAACCAAGTTACCACCAATAGTGGTACAAGAACCTGAAGTAGACCTCCTATCTGAAATTGATCTTGCATAATCAGCATCTGTCCAAGCCTCAACACGTAAGTGACCATGATTGGCAAACAAAATACCACGGCCTGGACACCCTTTTAAGTAACGAAGGATCCGAATAGCTGCATCAAGGAGAGGGGCACGAGTAGAGTGCATGAATTGACTCACGACACTCACAGCATAAGCAATGTCAGGTCGAGTCATGGATAAATAGATGAGCTTCCCCACAAGTCGTTGATACTGACCAATATCTGACAATAACTCCCCCTTAGAAGTAGCCAACCGATGATTCTGCTCAATCGGAGTATCAGCAGGATGAGCGCCAAGCTGACCAGAAGCAGAAAGCAAGTCAAGAACATACTTGCGTTGAGAGATGAAAATGCCAGTCTTGGAGCGAGCCATCTCAATGCCCAAGAAGTACCGTAGGGGACCAAGATCCTTAATCTCAAACTGACGGGCAAGATAGCTCTTAACCTCATCAATTCTGGTAGTATCATCGTCGGTAAGAACAATATCATCGACATACAGAATGAGAGCAACTGTCTTACCGCCTGAATGACGTAAAAACAAGGTATGATCAGCTGCACTTTGATGGAAACCAAACTTGAGCATAGCAGTGCCAAAGCGATCAGACCAAGCTCGAGGAGACTGCTTAAGGCCATACAGAGAACGACGAAGACGACATACCATACCAGAATGAGTAGGAGAACGAAAGCCCGGAGGAGGAACCATATACACCTCCCCCTGCAAATCACCATTGAGAAAGGCATTCTTAACATCTAACTGAAATAGAGGCCAAGATCGAATTGCAGCAACGGAAAATAATACACGGATGGTATTCATCTTGGCAACAGTGGCAAAAGTCTTCTGATAATCTATGCCATAAGTCTGAGCATAACCCTTGGCAAATAATCGGGCCTTGTAACGAGCAACTGACCCATCTGGATTATGCTTAACTGTAAACACCCAACGGCAACTCACAGCTTTTTGTCCAATAGGAAGCGGAACCATGTCCCAAGTCTGATTTTTCTCAAGCGCTTATAGTTCTTTTGTCATAGCATCACGCTATTGAGGTTGTGCTAGTGTATTTGCAACACTAGAAGGAACAAGGACCGAGGTAACAGAAACAAGAAAACTCCGATAGGAGGGTGAGAGAGCATAATCAGAAACAAAATTAGAAATAGGGTAAGTACAAGAACGTTTACCCTTTCGAAGAGCAATGGGGCGATCATCAAGCGAAACAATAGCTTGAGAAGGCGGAGCTGGTGTCGAGGGAACAAGGCAGTCGATCGTGGGAGTAGAAGCTTGTACCTGTTGTCTCCTACTATAAACCTGTGAAAAAGGAACAATTCCTCCTGCTGGAGGGGTATCACGAGGAGGAATCATAGAAGAAGAAACAGGTAATGGTAGAGGAGTTGAAGAAGGAAGAAGGTGATCATCCATTATATTCAATGGGAACCATTCACTCTGAGAACCAATTGAACCACTATAGTATGGTGTATGCTCAAAGAAAGAAACATCCATGGATATAAATCGCCGACGACTGGGAGGATGGTAACACCTATAACCTTTTGGAGAGTGAGAATAGCCCAAAAACACATACTTCAAAGCCTTGGGGTCAAGCTTTGTATGAGTCTGCCCAACTGCTGAACAAAGCACACACACCCGAAGATTCGTGGAGGAATCAAAAAAAGATTGCAAAGTTAAGAATCCTAGAAGGAGTCCTATTAATGATGTAAACAGCGGTAAGAACTGCATCTCCCCAAAATGACTGGGGAACATTCATGCCAATGCAGATTGCTCTGGCGAAGTCAAGGATGTGTCGATTCTTTCGCTCAGAACGACCATTCTGTTGAGGAGTTTTAACATTAGCCATCTGATGCTCAATCCCAAATTCTGTACATAGCCATTGTACCTCCTCATAAGTGTGCTCTGTACCTTGGTCAGATCGGAATTTTTTTATGATACAACCATATTGAGTCTGAACCAGTCATAAAATTTTTAAAAATGGTGTATACCTCATTTTTGGTTTTCATAAGATAAACCCAAGTAACACGACTATGATTATCAATGAACAACACGAAATATCTAAACCCAAGACTAGAAGTAACTGGGCAAGGACCCCACACATCTGAATGAACAAGATCAAAAGGTGTTAAAGCAGATTTATTACTACTAGCAGGATAATTGGAACGAACATGTTTAGCCATATGACATGTTTCACAAGATAAATCTGACACTGCCACGTTACAAAATAAGGAAGGAAATAAATGTTTCAAATAACGAAAAGAAATATGTCCTAAATGCATGTGCCAACGCATAAGCTGGGCTGTATTAGATGAAACAATATTAGAAAATGAAGCTGAATGTGCTGGAGGTGACAAAGGAGCATCCAACAGGTATAAACCGTCCACTTCACGCCCACTGCCAATCGTCCATTTCGACACTAGATCCTGAAAAATACAATGAGAGGGAAAGAACGTTACACTATAATTTAATTGTTTGGTAACGCTACTAACAGAAATAAGATTTGTAGTCAACTTTGGAACATGAAGTGTATTTGACAAAGTTAATGAAGGAGTAACTGATATGTGACCCTTCCCAGCAATGGAAGATGGAGAACCATTCGCAAGGCGGACCTTGCATTGGTCAGAGCAGATACTATAAGATTGGAAGAGTGAGGACATACCAGTTATATTGTCTGAAGCACCAGAATCAATGATCCATGATGTTGAAGATGTAGATACGCTATGTGCAGACGCAATAGTACCTTAGTGGGCATATGTGGAGGTTGGCTGAGATGATGCCTCCATTTGGTTGAAGAATTGCTTGAACTTGTCCAGATCAGCTTGAGTCAAGGTAACTGTGGCAGAAGATGTAGAGGTAGGGTTATCAGGAGTTGACAACGAGACTGGTTGTGTAACAAAATGTGCAGAGGATCGAGGCTGTTGTTTCTGTTGCAGTAGACGTCCATGTAGAACATAACAACAAGATTTGATGTGACCAATTTTTCCGCAATGGTCGCACCGTCCACGGTGTCGCCCCAGAGGAGGATCGGTGGTAGTGCTCTGAACTGACTGGGATGGTGACGTTCTTGAAAGGTTGGGAATCCGAACTGCCATAGTAGAACGATCAACAGAAGCAACACCTAATCGATGAGTCCGGCGGCTCTCATCTGACAACCTATAGGAGTATGCATCCTCAAGAGTAGGGAATGAAGATAAGCCCAATAAATGAACACGAGCATACTCATACTCGTCGTTCAACCCAGCAAGAAACTGAAACACTCGATTCTTCTCCACAATTCCTGCATATAAAATTGCATCATTTGGATCCTTCCAAGAGTGGTAGGAATCATAATATGACATCTCCTCCAAATAGCACGAAACTTAACGATGTAACCTGAAACTGTCAAGTCACCCTGAGAAATCCTGGTGATATCTCGCCCCAGCTGGAAAATTCGTGC